TATAATTCCATCACAAAATGTGCAAATACCTGCTGTTATTATTAATTTTGAATAATTTTGTCTGCATACAGAGATTTGTGACTTGTGAGCGGTGAATTATGCAGAGCCAGAGTTTTCTTTTATCTCATAAAGGTTACTCTTGTTAAGTAGATTCAAATTTACTACTCTCAAAGTTGAGTTTTAATTAGTCTAATAAGTAATACCCAGAGACATTCAATGTGAATTTGCTATTATAAATTGTAGACGTAGTTTGTCATTCATTTTTTTTTTACAAAAAATATATTTTTAAGAAAAAAGATTTAAATTTTATTCTTTAAATTATGAAGTTTTAAATTTTTAAAATAGATATTCACCCTATATCCAAATTAAATCAATTGGCAATAGGTGAAAAGAATCTCATTATATTTATATGTTTACAATTATTGAAGTAATGATAAAAAATTCTCACATCTCTTAATTTAAAGCATATTGAGAACTTAAATATAACAAGAGCTTCTCCACTTATTGTGAATCGGTTTTATGTTAGATACTTGTCTTAAAAATTTAACATGATATTAAAATAGACATTATACCCATTTATTATTCTTTACGTGACCCCTTATGTGTCAACTAGTAGATCCATTGTCTTTATATACTGGGAAAAGTTTTGAGATGATCGTAAAAGAGATCTAACTTTTTTTTTAAAAAAAAAATAGGAGTAATATGAGAATTTAATTATTTTTATTTTTATTTTTATCAATTGCTTTTACATTAAATTTTGGCCGTAAAATTGAGAAGACCGTGTTAGTATGTGTATTCTCCCTTCTCCGAATAAAAGAAATGATGAAACCCAAGCATCAAGTTGATGTAATGTTCCAAGTATGTCAAAAACGCTAAAGTCTAAAGGTCGAATATGAGCGGAAGTTATAACTGGAGAATCCAACTTCCACTCTTTGATGCTACCGGAAAGGCAGGCATCTAATAAATAAAAGCACGTATCAAATCATCCCTTCACTTTCATCGTAATGTCACAGGTGATGATATCCCTAGCGAGGGGGGGGAGCATTTATTTAATGTCCAAAAGAAAGAGAAAAATTGCTTATATTTTGCAAAACCTAGACAAAATAACTTGGGCGTACTCCAAACTGTGGGCCTGTGGCATCCCACATTAGAGTTGCAAATGACATAAAAACGCTTTGATTCCACACTCGTTGTTTTAGGACAACAAATTTAATGGTCAGTTTGGAGACCACAGTCTGGCAATGAACCGTCATAGTCCTTCAAGTTTCAACTATCAAAGCCTCAGAAGAAAAAGGGTATCTCGATAAGGTGCAAAAGCCAAAACTTCTTTCTAACTTTTTCCCCCTTTCCGATTCTCAATTTCTTTCTTTTTTTTCCTTTTCCCCTCCATCTCTTTGCTTTCGAAAAGGTAACAATCCAAACGAATCTTAAGAGGACCCCCTCTTTCCTTTGGCTTACCCTGTTGTGTCTCATATCATATGCATTCTATTTGGAGTCATCTAGGACCCAATCCCACCCAATCTCTGTCGCATTTTGCACCCACATCCTCCTACATCTTCCACAGCGTTCTTCTTCTAAGGGTTAATGACATCGCCACAAAACAAACAACTTTTCTTTTCTTTTCTTTTTATGTTTTTCCATCTTTCTCAATCTTTTGCTCTTTTATCACAACAAAAGAGTTGTTGTCCTTTTTATGAATGCATGCCTGTCCCTACTTCAAGTAAAGAAATTATTAAGTACAGCATGGTTACTAACGATCGGGCTATTAAATAAAGGTCTGCCATGTCTATAAAAGTTTATTATATCAACACACACACATACATACATACATATATATATATATATATATAGGAGCTATAATCTAATATATACTCAAACGAATTTAAAGATTTCAAATCAAAATAAACATATTGATCTTTACATTTAACTAAATTGATAGATGAAGCCTCGCTAAGAATCATCACAATGACACTATAAACACTTATGTTTTTTTCTTGAACGCCAGGGGAAGGGACTCGACACGCTCATCTGTGTGTGCGTGTATATATATAAGAGTAAAACAGTGAGGTTTCTGCTTGTATATTGCTCAAGGGACACTAAGTCAGATCATCTCTATATGTGCTAAAATGTATGTTCTAACTTGGCTTAGATTCTGACAATGAATTAATATGCTGATGATAAAAAACTAGTTAATGGTTTAACTTGTTGCCGACCAATTTGGATACATGAGATTAATAGGTAGATGGCCAGCAGAGCAGTCTTGTCATTGAGTCGGGTCTCCATTAATCTAAGTTAATTTACATGGTCTTGAAATAATGCACCAGCTTATATAATTGGTTGGAGTTTCACCCTAATACGTATGGAAATGGTAACCCAGGCAGTTCTAACAACGATGCTAACCGTTTCTCTAAGTGTTTGATGAAGCAATTAATTGCTGTTTAGTCTTGGAACTGGGGGAGGCCCCGCTACCTATTAAAAACATCTCCTAATTGTAGATTTGCAGTAAATAAATATTAATTATTAGGAAAACGGGGCAAAAGCTGAAAGGCTCGAACTTCTTATACGAAATATGACATAATTAGACTTTGATTCCCATAGAGAGGCTAGCTTGCTATGAAATGAAGCAAATGTCTACAAGTCCATATTTATCTATGTTTTACTATAAAAAGATAAAAGCCATGAACACTTTTTACCTTTTGGTAACTCTTATTATCATTTATATCTGTACTCATGCAAGGAGCACATGTCTAGAGAGTGTTTCCCATCACTGAAAGTAACATCTTTCGGGGAAAATATTATTTAGATATCACTCATCAGACTACTTAAATGCGACCATGTGGTATATATTTGTTCAGGAAGCAATATGATTTGGTGCAAGCTACTGACGTTTGGTATCAGGGAAAATCCAAGTCCTGAAAATGTTCCAGAGTACTATTTAAACAGAAAAGAATTACTTTTATATGTTTTATGTGTAGTGCTTGTTAAGAACCTTCCCTGGGAACTCATTGGGTAGTAAACAGAACCTAGATCATACAATTAAGAGGATTGATGAACCTCTGACAAACCATCTTCTTTGCTTATTAATTGGCACTGTATTCATAGAATGATCTGGCAACAGGATTGATAGAAAGTCACAAGTAAAACTCTGTGTGAAGCATTTGCATAGATATTTTAAACTGTAGAATGTTGCTTTTAGACCACAGGAAAAAGCTCTGTCAAATCAAATTTAGGTGGAGACTGGAGACAGTGGATATGAGGGGATTTATAGATAAGAAACAAGAAAAATTAAGACCTCAGAGTTACTATTGTGGAAATAAGCAGCCCTAACCCTAAAAAACTGGGTAATTTGCTATTTTTAGTTACTTTTAAACTAAAGAACTCTCAACTCTAGGTTCTATATAACTAGCCAAAGCAAGAATAAAGACAATGTGGCTATATTAAGTAATACAGGTAGGAAGAAGATGATCAATCACTATCTGATGAAATTAACCTTTGACCAAGATTCCCAACTGGACCACATAATAACAACATGCATTTCCTTATGCAGCTTTAACTGATACTGTGATATAGTTCCCGAATCAAGCAAAGTATACTGAAGAGTGCAAATCTTGCTGGTAAGCTTTGGACACTAAAGCAAGCAAACTATCACAAAAGTATATCTTCGCTAGTGAACTTGAAACATCAAGCCCTATCTATAGTTTTAGTCAAAAACAAGCACATCGCTATCTGAAATCTTACCTTATACAAGGAAACAGGTCCCTCTTTTACCTGCAATGCAGTTGAATTGTGACTTAACAACTCACTGTTAGTATTGAATACCCCCAATAAATAATCTCTTAATTGCCATTAGGACATGTTCTTTTTCTTAATGGTACAATAAAAAAGTCATGCCAGTAAATGTCAAACATCTGTATTAACTCTCAAGACACAAATAATGATCACTTGCAAATTTGAAAAAAAGCTTGGTTGTATAGGAATTTAAACCTAAGACAAGGAAGTGTACTTTTCATATATCCCATCAACCAGAGCATGTAGACAAGACCTATCTTATGAATCATCTTTTCTTTCACCACGGGACAGATATTAAGGTTAACAGAAGAGAAAGGCAAATGGTAGTGGAGGCATTGAAATTCACTAATAAGATTACAAGGGAATTAAGAAGGGACAAAGAAGAAAAGTGATTCTAGGGATCTTAACGGAATTTAGCCAGCAAAAGTATGAAATTCAAGGGATGGTTTTCAATTGAGGAGAGTTGCAGACAAAAACTGGTGTCCTTTGGGAGTTTTTTTGTTTGCCTTGCTGTTGGAGAGCCCACATGTTTCCTTTGGAAGGATTAAAAAAAGAAGAAGGAAGAAACAAGAAAGAAGAAAATTAGAATTAAAGACCAAGCTTTGGATCTATCGACTTTCTCGAACATGGACTTACCCACATATGGATTTAAGTTTTGCATGGTAGCAAATATTACTGTAGATGATGTATTTTCTCTTTTCCAAAAGAAAACACTAAAGAAAAAAAAATAAGCATAAAAATTCACATAAAATAAAAGCCCTTTTGCCTCGATCAGTTCTTTCATTCCCAAGGTGATCCATCCATGAACATCTGGCTAAGTTCTCAAAGGTCGACCATATATAGAGTGCTTTATGGTTATTGGGCGATATATGAAGTTTGAGAACCCCATTTTTACACTACTATAACTCATGAAAGAGAAAATGATTTACAAAAAAAAAAAGAAAAAAAAAAGGATCAGCTTCTGTACTCAAAGACTGAAAAAGTTTATGCATTACCAGGAAAAACAACAGGAGGCTTGCAATTGGTAACAGAAACAGACCAGAGAAAGGAGGCCCCATGATCATAACCTTTGTTTGTTTGAACATTAAAGCTAAAATGTACCCACCTTAGAAGAAAGAAAACACTGCTCAAAAGGGAAGTGAGAAGTGCAACAAGGAAGGCAAAGTGCTGTGAAAAAATGCAGGAACAGAAAGTCTTAGAGAATATCTACATTGAATGGAGGAAGAAGGATCAATGTTGAAAAAAGTCGATAAGAAAAGTACACTCATTCAATGCCACCCATCATGCTTCAAACTGAAGCTCAAACCCCTCTCTCATCTTCCTTTTTCTCACTTTCTCAAGTACATATATCAACGGTTGCTAGCTGAGAATCACTGGACTCAAACAAAAAGGTTGGTTAGGCGAAGTAAAAGACTCACACAAAGGACCATTAACCCATAAATGCAGAGAGACGCATGTAAACGAAATACTTGTGCAAACAGCAAATGAACTTTAAGATTACAGCCAACGTTCATGTCTCCAAGTAAAATCGTCATTGATCCTTCCCGCTTGTTATCTCAGTTAAACTGAAAAAGCTTACTCAGGAAAGATCATAATTCCCATGCTCAAAACCAGTTAGACCTCTCTTCCATTTTCAAGCCTCTTGCATTGCATTGCATGTCTCCACTTTGCTCGATGCAACAGCATCTAAACCCATATTCACAATCAAAAGAGATTTGAAATGCAACAAGAAAATATTAGAACTAAAGATTAAGTACCCATTAACATTAATAATCTAATGTAAACCCAACTTAATATAATATTAATAATAATATCCACTCCAACATCATAATCACTACCAAAGCACCAAATGTTAATCCCCAAAAAAGATTAAAAAAAAACAAACTAACCCTAAAAAATCTAACTAAAATCCCGACAAAGTAGTTTTGAACTTAGCCAGACAACTTTTTTTCTTTTTTCCCTCTCTCAAAACATGAAGAAGCGGTTTCTAGGGTTTCTTACCAAGTGTGTGCTTGTTATTATGCATCCAAACTTTCAACACATGCCTTTTCACCCCATTTTCGTTGCAGAACTGTTGAACAACCGCTTCATCATGTTTCTGAATCCGCCACCCTAACCTCTCAGCCAACCCCAACATCTTGTCCTTTTGCTCCTGCGTAAACTTCGTTCTAAACCTCTTCCTTGAGCTCCCTTGATTCGAAACATCCTCTTGATCGTCCCTGCTGTGCCCTCCCCCGCCTCCTGACGTCGACGGTAAAGCTAATGGCCTTTGTTGTCCTGCCAAGTGGAGGTACCCTGCTGGTGCCCTAAAGTAAGGAGCGAATTGCGGCGGCTGGTGGTGGTGGAGGTAGAGGTCCGTCGTGGGAACGGAGTTTGGGGAACCGAGTTCGGGTTCCTTACGGTGGAAGTTGCGGTGGCAGTTGCAAGCGGCGCATTTGAGAGCGTCGAGGGTGCCTTCAACTCCAGCCGCCATGAACTCACCGCAACCGTCGACGGCGTGACCGCCGATTCCCAACGCGTGGTTCTTCAAGCACTCTCTATACCTTGGCTTCCTCTGTTGCTGTTGCTGCTGCTGACCCGTTGGAGTTATCGAACCCGGTTCAACACCTGACATTTTGACCCGAGATGAGTTTGCTAGCGAGTCATAACTCGGTGCCAAACCCATCTCTTCTTCTTGCTCCTCCTGATCCTCAAAATCCATTTCTCCCCCCAAAATAACTACCCAAAAAACGATTTTTTATCAAATATTTTTTGACCTTTTTTCCACTAATAGAGAAGAAGAAGAAGATAAGAGGAGTGAGAGAGTGTGGCCATGATTTTTTTTTTTATTTTCCCTCTCCCTCTTTCTCTCTCTTTCTATCTGCAAAAGAAGCTGTTTTTGTTTCAAAGGGTCCTTCTTGATATACTTTCCCGTTGCTGAAATCAACTCTCTTAATAGCTGCTTCTTTCTGTTTTATCTCTTGATTTTTACTGCACTGTAAAAAAAATGTGGTAGTTTTTCACATTTTTTCACATTTTTTTAACTGTGAGGTTAAAAAAAAAGGGAGTGGGCACAGTGAAGAGAGCAGGGTTGGGGTTGTCCACTGTTGGGTACAGTGTGCACAGCGGACAAAGGAACGGAATCCAACGCTTCACGCGCCATCCACGCGCTTTACCGACACTGAAACTTACATTTGTCTGGATGTGGGACCCCTTCAGATGGTGTTGTACTAGCACGCATCCCGTACGGGGAGGTGGAGCCCCAAGTAAGGTCAGGTGGCGCGTTTGACATGGTACGGAGGAGAGGAGTTTGGGGGGGGGGAGGGGGGTGTGGCAGAAGAAGATGGGGACCGGAATTTACTTGTGGAAGCAATAAATTGTCGGCATTAAAACCGAAGCTCGGGCTACGTCTACGTGCGCCAAAGTTTCCAACATAGGTGACGCGCGCTTGGCGTCAACATGCAATTAATGTTCCGCTGTGTTCTGTAAGGGAGAGAGAAAATTAAGGATAGGCAAGGCCAAATTAGGGGGTAGGGGTTATTAATACTCTCCTGTGATTCGCGTGGTGGGCACGTGCTTGGAAAACTCACAAGAGCGGCGGTAGTGCTTGGAGGTGAGGGGTCTTTTTCGTTACCAAAACCATGCACATAGCAAAAGATAGCTCAGCTCGGAGGCTTCTCTGAAGGGGCCATCACATCTCAAAATTTATGGGAAACAAAAAATTTGGAACTTGGGGACTTGGGATAGGTATGTTCTGTTTTGGTCTTTGCTCCTTCTATTTCATCAGTTTCCTCAAAGGAGCCACCCCCCAAACCCTTTTACTTTTCAACACCTTCAATGCCAATCTTTAGTGTATCTTCTACTGAATTCAATCACTTAGACTTCGAATTGTTTAGAAATTACGACGTCTATGATTTGATCGTAATAGGACTATGATCTGATTGTTTCAATGGACATGAACAGCACAAATCATTTTTTATTCAGAATTTAACATAGTGGAGTAGGATTCTTAATTTGTTTCCAGCCTAGCGATGGGTTTCAAACTTGTACTAGATTTTGCACGGCTGAAATAGCCCACTAAAGCTATGCTTTCAATATATAACTAATCTTGTCTTGCCTATATCAGAAAAAAGAAAATAGAAAAGAAAAAAAAACCATGCAATATCTTTTTTTTTTTTAATACCATAATGTGGTTTCATAATCAAGGGGAATTTTGGGTATATACATATATACCATGCAATATCGTTATATTTTTTTATGTTGGTTGAATTTGGTGTGTGCCAAAGAATCCACATCAAAAGCTATATAAATGTTTGATATACTAAAGGCTTTTTCCACAATGAAATTTGAAAAAAAAAAATCTATTACATTTTTTATACAATTAAAAGTATATTTAAACTTTACTTAAATATAATCTTCAGTTCGAGCCGCGTATCTTTTTTTACATTATTTAATGCATTCAAGATTTTACTTTTTGAAATAGTTTTTAAAAGAGTTAAACCTTAATTGATAAAATTAATCTCCTTACGTTTACTAATAGCTTTCAATTAACTAGTTAATACATGTAACATTTTGTTGTAATGGAAGAACTTCAAGATCCAAAATATGTTAGTGAAGTTGTCTTGAAATAAACAGTTTACTTTCAAGCATTAAATAATTAAAAGTAGAACATGATAGTCTAGCAAACATATATTGTATAGTTAACCTACTATAGCTTACCAACAAAAGGTTTTCTCCTTAAATTTTATTATATGATCAAGATGTGGAAACTTTGCTTAAGCTTTTAGTTGTTAAAATTGTAGGAGAAATATCCAATCTCAGATTAATTAATTATAATAAAAATTTTATTATATTTAAATAATTAAATAAAAAAACTTAAAGAAAAGTCTCTGAATTAAATTATTAACATGTTTTTTCTATTATTATATTTAAAGGTTACATATATATATATATATATGTATGTATAATATGACATGCACAACAAACACTTTGTGTACAGAATTCAACTCTTTCCAATTATTAAAATTGAAATTGAAACTGAAAATTTTCTCGCGTGGAGCGGTTCAAGAAAAAGGAGAGAGAGATAGCATAAATTCTCATCACTCAATAATTCTCGTCCTTACACTATCATCAAATTCTGCAACACAGTGATGGGTAGTCTAATCACATCCAAATCAGAAAAATAAATGAGTGCAAATAATTCTAGTAGAAAAAATTCAATAAAATAAATAAAATTTGAAGGAAACCCCATTCTTCCAAAGCTTTTGCCTCTCCTTCCTGGGGTCTCTCACCCCCACAACCCCACCGGCACTTAGCAATTGTTTTTTCTCTTTTACTTTTTCCCAGTTTTGACCAATGCAAAGATTGACATATGAAGTGACCATGTTGGCTCCCTTGCCCTTGGATCAACTAAGCCTAATGAAATCAACGGTTGACAAGTATTATTTTGGTTAATTTTTATTATTACTAATATGTCAGCCCGAGAAAAGAAAATGAAAAGAAAGTACTTAGAAATGGAAAAGAGAATGGAGTGGACTGGTGGTGGTGTGGTTGTCCAAAGGGAAAGGGAAAGGGAAAGGGGAAGGGAACGGCAGCTGAGAGAGGCAGCGTTAAAGATAATCGTCACGTCATTAACTGTCAGTTGTCGTTTCATACATACCCATCCCAAAATTTTATGTTAGAAGTATTAATTGGGAAACGGAATATAAAGAGTTGACATCAGCTCTTTTATCTCTCCCCCCCTTCCCCTACTTTAGATTTCTTATCACTTTATCACCAACTTGTTTAAACCCCTCGTCTTCTTCTCCTTCTTCTTTTTTGGTAATTTGTCAACCTTATTTAATCTAATATTATAAAAACAAAGAAAGAACACTTAGAATGCTCATGATTCTGAGTATTTCTTCGTATTTTTTTCAGTTAAAAAACAAAAACCCAATATCATTATACAGGTTCAATATTTTCTAAGTGAGAAAACGAAGATACCATCCTTGATACCTTGCTGGAGAAGAAGATGGAGAAGAAGTTATATATATCGGACAGTGTTGGATCATTTGGGTGCTTTTAAGCCACCCAGACCCAGAACAATTATCCTTAATACTGTAGTAATTGATAGAAAACCTTGGAAAGTAGGGACTGGGTAGTTAGTCAAAGGCTGGAACCTCTTATTTCTTAATCAAATTGCTGTGCCAACCATTTGGGGTAATAAAAATTTTACTTCCATGTCTGCAAACATTGGTTCCAGAAGGTTAAATTGGCAATGCTTTTAAATGAGAATCTGATCTTTTTTTTTTTTTCGTTTTTAGGATATGATCTTTAACTTTAAACTCAACAATGATACTACTATACTACAATCTCCAAAACCCTTTTACAACTTCTTTGTCAGATTTTAGTTTTACCCTCTGAATTACACAATACACAGAGAACACTGCAAGAAATCTGACTTCGCAAGATCTAAAATGGGCACCAGTTATTCAGTATTGTCTCAATACTGCTTAGCTGATAAAAGCAATATTTCCAACATTTAGAATTAAAAAACAAAAAAAAAAAAAAGAGAAGAGGAGAGACAGCGGGTAACAAGACTGATAATACCAATAGTAACATAGAAAAAGAAAAAGGAAAAAGAGATTAGGGTTCAAGTCCCGGGCGTGCCAAAGAGACGAGCAAAGGGGGTTTTCCATGTGATCCCCAAAAACAGCGAACAGGGCAAGGAGAGACGTCTGACGGGACATCCTGACAATGCAGAGACAGAGACAGAGACAGTACTCCCCCAAAAAACAAAAAATCAAAAGTAAATAAAAAAGAAAGAAATGAAAAGCCAAAAACAAATAACTACTACCATAGTACTAAATGAATGTATATGAGTTCATATACTATAAATTTTCTCTTGGCCTGAGCAGTGTCAGCTGGAGGGAAACCGCTAGCCAATACAGACAGATACAAAGAAAGGACAGATTTTCATTGTATGCTTATGTAGTCCTTTGCCAGTTTGCCATCCCATTTTCTTGCTATCACACGTTTCCTCTCTGTCTCTCTGCCTCTGTCCAACCAACCAGAAAAAAAAAAATGAAAAACTTTTGTAAGTTAATGCAATAATGCTACTATAACATTTGAAACGGGAAACGGGGATACCAGGGAGGAGGAATAATGGAACGGAGAGCTAGCAAGGCAAAAGAAACAAAAAAAAAGGGCTTTTTTTTTTCCCAGAAGGAGAGAAGGAGGGAATTGCGGGGAAAAGGGTGGTGGATTGTGACAGGACGATAAAAGAGTGGGACGACCTTGATTTCCATTTTCCATATTCTTTGGCAGCCTTTCTTTTCCTTTCCTCTTTCTTTTCCTTTCTTCTCTCTTCCAAGATAAATGAAAAAAAAAAACAGTGGCCCCCAGCTTTGCTTCTTGTGGCACCACCATTTCCCACCAACATATGAACAAACAAACAAAGAAACAAACCCCATCTGATTTGTTTTCTTTTGCTTCTTATATGCGTATCTCTCTCATATCATAGTATGTTTCTCCCCATACATATATGTCTTCTCTTTTCAAAGAATATATATATATATGTTAATGAAGCAACATTAATCTATTGATCATATAATTTAATTAACTTTCGATTCATTTCAATGTGATTCATGAGCTTAATTACTCAGTACTTTCTTCTCTTCTTTGGTATTGAAATATTTATATATTCAACTGACTTAGTTCTCTTTTTCCCTTTTAAAGCATTAATGAAACTGTAAAATGTGAAATGATTTAAGGAACAAATCAATGACTAGATCAGAGCTAGTCATAATGAAGACCACTTCTTTGATGGCACAAAAGGTTACAAGGGTGTCTTTCAAGCAGTAGTATTCTTCTTCTTTTCTTTTGTTGGTGTTCTAAACTCAGTTTTCAAAGAGATAAGAGAGTGTACCAGACATTTTCCACCCCCACCA